AAGGCAAAACTGGACAGCCATCTGAGATGGTGTAACTTGGAAACCTGCAGCAGCAGGGGGCTGGACCGAATAGCCTTCATGGCCCTTCCAACTCTTCTCTGATTCTAAGCAAGCGCAGCCCTGGTGTGTGTGTGTGTGTGTGTGTGTGTGCGCGCGCACCTGTGTGCACACCTCCTCCTCATGGCAGTGAATCTGTCCTCTAAATTTTATTTGATCTACCTGAGGAGATGCAAAGAGTTGCATTGTTATAACCAATGGGCACCCTTTTCAAAGTGAACTAAAAACTATGAATTAGGGCATGGGTGGGCAATTTTTGACTCTCCAGATGGTGACCACTACAACTTCCCTTCCTACCATTGTCCTTGCTGTACCATCCCAGTGGGATGGCATGTGTTGAAACGATCCAGGGAAAGGAGACAGGTCCAGCAGAACAGGGAGGAGTGATGGAGGAGCTGGAATTCAAACACCCAGTAAGCGGACAACAGGCTAAATCAGCCCACAGAGTAAGTGACATTAGGCTTTCCTGCCAACTGCTCCTCCAGCAGCAGAAACCCTCATGATTGTGTCAGGAAGTCAGAAAAGCCACCAAGGGAGGGGTTCTTTCACTCTGTGTTGTGTGCTTCACATAGGCTGATCCTCTCCTCTATCCAGGTAGGGAATTTTTACTTTAATTTAAACTACCTGCAAACTTGCTGAACTCCAATAAAAGGCTGTGATTGAAAAGATTTTGTTTCCACTTGCAGGAATGGGAGAATGGGGAGGGATGCCCTCATGATGCTTGATTCATGAAAGCTCCCGTTGACACAGGAGGGTGCAAATAATCAAATGTCCTGCTTGTGGTTTTACTGAGGGTCAGAATTTGGCCCCAAGTGAGCAGTGGTGAATTGGTCTTCTCCAGCAGGACTTCTATTCCATCTGTATTTCTTTATCCCCTTCATGGATCACTGCCATGTTGTGGTGAAGGGTCTTGCACAATGAAATGAAGCTATGACCTCTGCCATTCATGGGCACTCAGGTCAGAAAGGTCACACCGTCTCCCAGCCTGCTTCATCGCCCGCAGTTCAGGTCTATACCGGGGGAAGAGTGGGCTCTGCCCGGCGGGAAAGGATGCTTAGGAGCCATTGTGTCAACAGCCCTGGTCATCTCCCCATTCCACAGTTCGACCAGAGCCTCGACAGGAGCACCAGTCTTGTCAGCCAGAAACTCCCCCAGGGCCTTCAGGAATCCATCCGGATCCATCCGGCTCTGGGGGCGGACCCATACAATCGGGTCCGCACCCTTACAGAGGGAGGCGCCGCTCTCGAGCACAAACCAAGTGAACAGTGGTCATGTTGTCTGGACCAGCAGGGCTTCTTTTATATTTGCATGTCTTCATGGATCACTGCATCCCCATGGTGAAGGAGCTTCCCTAGCACAATGTAACTATGAGCAATGCCACACAGGGGCACCCAATATGGACAGGTCATAGCAGAGAACCTTGACAAAAGGTGTTCCCCAGGAGAAGGGAATGGCAACCCGTTCCAGTATCCTTGCCATGCAACCCTTATTTATCAAAAGGTTGTATGAAAAGGCTAAATGATATGTTGCCAAAATATGAGCCCCTCAGGTCTGAAAGTGTCCAATGTGCTAAAGTAGAAGAGGGGAGGGCTAGTGCAAGTAGCACCAGAAAGAGCAAAGTGGCAGGGTCAAAGCCAAAAGGACACTCAGTTGTGGATGTATCTGGTTGTGAAAGGAAAGTCCAATGCTGAAATTACTATACTGTATAGGAAGCTGGAATGTAAGATCTGTGAATAAAGCTAAGCTGGAAATGGTCAAACATTAGATGGCAAGAGTAATCATCAACTTTTTGGGAATCTGTGAACTTAAACAGACAGGAATGGGTGAATTTAATTCAGTTGACCGTCATATATACTACTGCAGGCAAGGATCCTTGCCGTCAATTGTTCCCAGCATTAGGCTCTTCTCCAGTAAGTCCTTCCTTCTGAGTAGGTGGCCAAAGTATTTGAGTTTCATCTTCAGGATATGGCCTTCTAAAGAGCAGTCAGGGTTGATCTCCTCTAGGACTGACTCGTTTGATCTCCTTGCAGTCAAAGGGTCTCACAGAAGCCTTCTCCAGCACCACAATTCAAAGGCCTCAATCCTTTGACGCTCAGCCTTCCTTATGGTCCAGCATTCAAAGCCATACATTGCAACTGGGAAAACCATAGCCTTGAGTATACACACTTTTGTTGGCAGGGTGATGTCTCTGCTTTTTAGGATGCTGTCTAGATTTGCCATAGCTTTCCTCCCCAGGAGCAAGAGTCTTTTAATTTCTTCGCTGCAGTTTCCATCTGCGGTGATCTGGGAGTCCAGGAAAATAAAATCTGTTACTACCTCCATTTCTTCCCCATCTATTTGCCAGGAAGTGAGAGGACCAGATGCCATGATCTTAGTTTTCTTAATGTTGGTTTTCAAGTCAACTTTCGCGCTCTCCCCTTTCACCCGCATCAAGAGACTGTTTAGTTCCTCTTCACTTTCTGCCATTAGAGTGGTATCATCTGCATATCTCTGCGGTGGCACCCAGGTTATGGAATGTCTACATTCTTTTCTTTGCCAGGTTAAACCTTTTTATTTAATGGCTATTTTAAAAATCAATTTTATCATCAACAGTTGCTTTTATGTTTTTTGTTTTTGCTTTGGTTTTGATATAATTTTCAGTTACTGTATTATAGGCTTACTTCTATGTCGGAAGCCGTCCCAAGATGCTAAGGCATGAGGGGATGGCATATAAAAGTTTTAAATAAATAAATAAATATCTGAGGTTAAATAAATAAATATCCCAGCAATCTTAATTCCAACTGGTGATTCATCTAGCCCCGCCTTTCTCATGATGTGCTCTGCATATAAGTTGGATAGGCAGGGCGACAGTGTACAGCCTTGCCGAACTCCTTTCCCAATTTTGAACCAATCAGTGTTTCCATGTTCAGTTTTCACTGTTGCTTCTTGACCCGCATATAGGTTTCTCAAGAGACAAATAAGATGGTCTGGTACTCCCATCCCTTTAAGAACTTGCCACAATTGGTTGTGATCCACACAATCAGAGGATTTAGCATAGACAATGAAGCAGAAGTAGATGTTTTTCTTGAACTCCCTAGCTTTCTTCATGATCCAGCAAATGTCTGGCTGAGTGGGGGCGGGGGGGAGATGACCGCAATTCTGCTCAGGGGTGGGGGGAGACTGGTGCACTCACAGGTGCACTGGGGAGACAGGTGTGATTGCGGGCACATTGGGAGAGGGAGACAGGTGCGCTTGTGTGTGCACTTGCAGGGAGAGGGGCGCACTCACCATCATCACCCAATGTTGAGCTTTCAACCTGCGGCAACATTTTTTTGAAATTTCTGTTTGCAACCCAATTTGGTCATGAACTGTGCCTAAGTACCATTGTACACTAGTATGAGCAATCTTTCCCTTTGTCACCAGTGAAATGTCCTTACACTGAATCCTTCAATGATTCCCTTCTGAGTCTTAACTTTTTTTCAGAAGGCTGCAGGATTTCTTGGCTGCAATGTTCTTTTGCAATGATGACTGCGTCAAGGTATCTTTCATGATTTTGATGTCTTCTTTCCTAACAATAATATTCTGTAATATATTTCATATAAGCAAGCCAACAAGCAAAAAGTACATCGAGTACCCTTTCCTCTAGAAGGTTTGTAACTGCTGGGTGCATGCTGCCCTTCTCTAGCTTTAGGGAGAAAATGTGCAAGAAGCAAACAAAAATAGACTCCTTCACGCACCCCTTGAGTTCAATTTCTACCCTAATATGATGAAGGGGGAAGAACCTTGCTTTACCCCCCATTTCTGGCTTCAATGCATGTGAACCACAGATATGATGAAAAAACAAAAAAGCCCTGCTGGACCAGACCAGTTCAGCAAAGCTCACTCAGGGCCAACCAAGTTCTCCTGAGGAAACCCACAAGCAGGGCATGGGATTTATTACACCCTCCTGTATCAAGGGGAAGTTTGATAGAATCATAGAACAGTTGAGTTGGAAGGGGCCATGAAGGCCTTTTGGTCCAACCCACTCCTGTTGCAGAACACCATCCCACTTAGATGGCTGTCCAGTTTTGCCTTGAATGTCCACCACCTTTCCAGGCAGCTGGTTCCACTGTGTTATTGCTCTGACAGTAAGGAAGTTTTTCCTGATATCTAACCTGAGTCTGTGTTGTTGCAATTTTAATTGATTCTTCAATGTGCTACACTTTGGTATCAGCAAGAAGAGATCCTGTTCTTCCTCTTTTTGACAGCATTTGAGGTACTTATACAGTGATACTATGTCCACCCTCAGTCTTGTCTTCTCAAGGCTGAACATACCCAGTCCTCTCAGTCTCTCCTCATAGGGCAGTATTTCCAGACCCTGGATAATTTTTGTTGTCCTCCTCCAAACCCTTTCTAATTTTTTGAATTATTCTTAAATCTTGGTACCAAAAACAGGAAGCACTATTTCACAAGAGGCTGTTTAGTGAGGAGTATAGAGGAACTACTGCTACTTGTACTTTGGAAGTAATACTTCTGTTAATATGTCCCAAAATTGAATTTCCCATTTTGGTGGTTGCATCACATTATTGGTTCATGTTTAGTCTGTTGTCGACAATTATTCTGGGTTACAATTCCCTACCAGGAGCATGGAAATAGTCAGCCTGTGTGAAGAGCAGAATCCAGAGTGAAAGAGCCCCTCCTTTGGTGACATTTCCAGAAGAACTTAATTCCAGTCACATGGGAGTTCCTGCAGCTGAATGAGTAGTTGGCAGAAGGACTAAGGTCACTTCCTCAGTGGGCATATTCTTACTGGGCAAATGAATTCCTGCTCAAGCAGAATGGTTTGGTACTAGCTGGGGGGGGGGGACTGCGGAGTATCAAACAAGCGGTGTATAGAGAGCTGCTAGAGGTGGCCTATTTCAGACCACAGGTTGTCAAGAATGTGAGGAGGGAGAACCTCTCTCAATACTTGAGGGAACAGACTTACCCGATAGAATATTTTCACGACAGGAGGGTTCCGTTCCGGCTGTGGGACATCAGGTGGAGGCTGTATCATCAGGTGTATGACCTGCAAGGGACCAGACCCTGGCTTCCTGAGTGGGCGCAGGCCTGCCCCAGACTGCAGTGAAAGAGCGGGGCTGTCGCGAGCAGGACGGCGCAAAAGGAGATGGTGAGGCACTTTGTCAGCAATTGCCCCGTGGCACATGCCACGTGGAAAGCGGTGTCTGCAGTGCTGGACTGGCTGTACCTGGGCTCCCAGGACTGGGAATCGGTTGTGTCTGGCACAGAACCCACTCCTCCATTGAAGGGACCCAGGAGGAGGGTGCCCAGGAAGCAGCGGTGGAGAGACACCACAGCTCCCGAGATGTACTGGACTGTACCATGGTCCACAATTAGGCTGATTAATCTGTACGTTCTGTTGGCGCTGTCGCTCCAACACCACAGGGAGATAAAGATGTGAAAAGTGGCTAACATGGCTGGCTCAGTTAAATTTGTCCAAGAGAAGATCTTTTGGTTGAGCAACGAGGAAAAAGGGAGGATGCTGCCCAGACGGTGGAGGAAATTGTGGCCGTGGTTGTGTGGAGCTCATGCCCCGATCACGTAATGTACATATACTGTTCCTGCATGGAAAATTTTGGTGAGACGCATGGCATGAGCCTATCAAGGAAGAGTCTGTAGAACATTCTTTCTGTAAATTTGATTTGTAAAGTTTGGGAATCCTGTAAATGTGTGTACATTTGGCATTTTGATACCTTGTAAATATTGGTTGGTGTATTTTTTTATTTTTGAAACATTGCACGTTTTGTGCCTTTTGTAACTTTTGTAGTATGGTTTTATTTAAATAAAAAAATTTCAACCTAAAAAAAAAAGTTCAACCTCTTCCCTATTCTGCAGGGTCTGCCAATTTTAAGAAGGTGGCTTTTCTCTAAACCAACA